AATCGCCCTCCCCCTCCAACCGGCACTCGTTCACCATTTTTCTCTGTGTGTGTCGCAGTACGCAGCAGTGTCGCTACTCAACTCGCTAGTTGGATGTGGGCAACTACATTTCTGTCTATGGTTGTGGGAGAGAGAGACAGAAGAATGCAACTGCTTTCACAAACTTGCACACGAACAAACACATTACCGAACGAAGTGCCTGCCCCTTTGTTTCAGGGTGTTGTTTTGGGTTGTAATCTAATCAGATGAAATGCAACGCTGCTGAGATAGTCACTGTGAGTGAGGCTAGTGCAACGGTTGACACTGTCCATCATTTCGCTAGGGTAGAATGAATGCATGCACATTGCCGAGATAGTGAACCACGGCCTTCGCCTGACCTCACACGATGACCGAATACAGTGCTGGAGAGCACGATAAGAATCGTCCAATCATAAAATCGGACGATAGCCGGACTACTTCTTGTGTGGTATTCCGGATAGCAGAATCTGAATTTTCACCCGGTAATTAACATGTGCTGCTTCAGTTCTCGAAAAGGGTCCAACTTAAATGAAGTTATTGTCACCGCTTGTTTAGAATGATGACGTTTTACCCGAAACATTTCCCTCATTACTCAGCTGTTTTGATCCCTGTGCGTGAACGTATTCGTGTCCATCCATTCAGTTTCATGAAATTCAATGGAAAATAGCCATTTTGAAGGTTACACCCATAAAATAAACCCACTGTGTATACAAGTGAAAAAATGAATTGTATTTTTTCAATAATCTTCATTTTTAATTTCCCAAGAATTCAACACAATTCAAAGTGTCTGAGGTTGGAAGAATAAAAAAATGAGAATGCAGGTCTTAGGCACGCTATACCGATCGTCCGTCCGTTTCACACGATCTTGGCTAATTTTATGAAAGTAGAATTAGATGATTCACTAAATCTCGGTTCGTATAAGCAGCGAAGGCTTCATCTCCAAACAGAACCCTGATTGTTTGTTGAAAGTGACTACAAAAATGATCATCATATTAATATTAACAATAATACTAAAACGGTCAGATGCATGACCTTACCGTATACCTGTGAATTATGAACTCTGCAGAAGACGATAATGAAACGATTTTCTTGGTTGCTACCTTTTCAAGCCCAGTCCTGTGGTAGATTCCGGGCTTTTCGTGTGTTGGCACGATGTCCAGCAAATAGTCCACTTCTGTGGGACAAATTTTGTTGTTCGTTTGTCAAATTCCTGAGTTTTAATTTTTCAAAATGTTTTCCTTCTTTGTTCAACAGATGGGGTTGTGTTTGAGCACAAAACCGACGACCTGCGAGCCGCAAAATTAGGTCAGGTGATCACGTTGGATTGTTCTGTGGACGCCAATCCTGCCGCACAAATTTCGCTTTATCGACTCGGTGAGGCAGGTCGTGAACTACTAAATCGTATGAGCACCATTCAAACTGGATTCAATCAGTCTCATGTTGGTCACAGTGGCCGTAAAATATCTCAGTTCAACCCACTTTTGCGCAATGAGTTGAGTCCTAGTGAACTGGCCTCGGCTATCAAGACCAAAGGAAGTCAGGTAAGGAATGTTGCGTAATGAGCGCAGTCTGTCCACGGAAAAAAAACTGTGCAAAAATCGTTCTGACTGATAACTATATGGCTCATACAAAGAAGGGACTGTTAGAATTTGTCGTTATTTTGCAGAAACAATGGTTTTGTGGGAGCTTTTATGTAATATTGTGTAAGGACGCCGATTCAGCTGAAAACGTTTTGAGTGTAGTGATTGAAATGTAAATCGTCATCTTCAGCTGTCAAACAAATTATATATTTGCTATATATTTGTTAGCTGCTGATACCGAATGATCATGAATAGGTAGAGAGTACAGTAAACAGTTTTCGATCAATATTCTGGTTTCGCATTTTTCATTATCCTCATCAAGTTACTTTGTGTTCTGCTTTCATCACGAGCTACCACCACCTGCTAGTAGGTTGTGATGTACATAAAAGAACATTTAGATAAACACAAAATAATTCATTTCACATGACAGCTGATACCAATGTTTTCACAGCTGGTTAAGGCCCCCAAGTTGTTGTCAGGCTTTCTTGTGAAAAAAACATTGAGTTGCGTACGCGCTGTGTTCTCGTCACTCGCGCAACCTAACTCATAATGATGAAAGTAGCATGCATTCATCAGTCGCTACTGACCTGTGTGTCTGAAAACTGTCACACCCGCAAATCTGACAACCTGAAGCGTATGCTGTGTACAATGAGGTGGTTTTATTCACTCGCCTCTATAGAACGATGGTAATCTGACACCGCAATCAATAACGAAATTCATTTGGAATGTATAGTGATGTGCTGAACTTGGTTGTTTATTAATTTGATCAAGATATAAACACTTGGAAATCACTCTGTGGTGTGTTCATGTTTCCTTAAAAAAATGTTTTTCTCGTTTATCACATTGTGATAATTTGCTTTTTCTTGCATTTGTTCCGCGCTTCATTCTTGAACGCAACTTCATAACCGGAAGCATGAATAGTGAATTGTGAACGGAAAATTTAAGGCCCCAATATTTAGTTGAAAAATAAGCTTTTGCTCCGAATGTTTTGCTTTCGACGCATTCCTGAGAACAATGAAGCGTTTTTACTTATTTAATAACGTCACGACAATAAAATCCAGCTTGGTGCTCACAGTTATTTGATACATCTTCGGATTTTGTGGCTGCAAGCGATGAAATCAGTCATTGATAAAATATAAGGTACGGATTCATCTATTTCGAGACATTTTGCACTTTCTGAATGATAATTGATGAAAGAAAAAAACAGGGTTTTGCAAGTTGAAAACACTGCACACGCACACCAACATTCTATTCATTGCGTATTCGTAAATACGATCAAGACGAGCCTGTTTATACGAGAGGCCAAGAGCTTATTTTTATCTCGATAAGCATAATCCATCATCCAACCAATCCAGTACGTCATTGGTAATTCGCGTGTTCACATTTACCATCAGTAACAGCTCCAAATAATTCAACAAATCAAGTAATAGAGGAAGCAGTGAAATGCAGTTTAACTGCACCATCAAACTAACATTACCAACATCGCGAGTACGTTCTCTATAGTTTATTTGCCAGAACTTCGAAATCAGTCAGTTGACTCATTTGTTTACTTTATGCACATCTTCATTTTCACAGGTGCTAGCATCCGCCACTCAGAAAATAAGCTACCCCCTTCAAGTGCAGCGACCGGAAGATTTTGGATTCTACGTTTGTTTGGCTCGAAACTCAGGCTTTCCACCCGCCCTCCGCCATGTGCTCGTTGGAGAAAGTGGTAAGTCCAACTAATGTTTTACTTTTGTTTCCAAACCTCTTTCGTGGTAGCACCGATATGAAGTAATGTTATCAGCATTTGTAGTGGGATGTTTGTGAAACTCCAGGATCATTTGCTCCAAAAGATCTTTTGATTTATCCTTCCTGGAGAGAACATGGTGCTCACTATTTATTCTCCTGTTGTCTGAATATCCATCAAATTATTGTGTACAACAGGAAATTTCCCACGGGAGGTTAACGTCACTTCTCCCTCCCCATCGGTCGTGAACATTCTGTTTACCGTCCTTTAA